ACCAAACAAATGTATGCAATTTTATTAATAGAACGTACAATTATTTAGTTTCATAAGTCATTCAATCATACAAAATAAATGTACATATTGTATAAACGTATTACAATAAGTTTATAAAATTATACGTTCTATTAATAAAATTACATACATTTATTTGGTAAAAATAACTCAATAAAGTTGATTTTTTGGCCCTATAAAAATGAGTCGTTTAATCCCTAGTGAAGAAAAAAGAAATAAAATATCATCATGTAAATGATACTCCACAACTCAACGACTTATAGTTAAATGACGTTAGTTACAGAAATCCAATTAATAAGAAATTAAAACTATAATGAACAAAAGTATACAAAACAACGAATCGCATGAAAAATATTTAATTAGTTTATCATAAACAATAATATAATTTTATATATATATTAATTTTCATGAAAAATATATAGTTTGATTAATACAAAAAAGACAACAATACCAAAGAAATAAACCAAATAAAGATATTTAATAAACAAAAAAAAGTTAAAAAGACTAAAATACTCCCAAGTTAAATAAAGGATTTTTAATTGATTTAAGATCTATTTATTTTTTCAAAATTATCTCTTAACATCTCTGAAGTCTGATTCGTTCAGACGTTTAGTTATTAAGAGCATTTGTTTGTTTTTTCAAATAAGAGCTTAAAAGCTCTAAATGTCCTCTGAAATTGTAAGTAGTAAACGTATCCCTTAACACCTCTTAATCCTAATCCATCCTTTATGAAATGATTCATATTTTGGAGGTCCTAAACCACAAGGGTGGTGCATGATTGCTTTGAGCTTGACTTCAAAGGTGAAAAGTACCTGAAGGTTCCAGGTTTAATTCCAAGGAGGAATAAAAATCCCCTTGTGGCCATGGTCCATTCAAATGCGGTAACTTCAGGTTATTTGCAAAGCATATGGTCGGTCTGGGATTAGTCAGCTTGCAAAGCGGGTTAGATATTCATGTTAATTAAAAAAAAATTGCTAGCAAAAACTATTTATCTTTTATACTTTTGTATAAACTATTTATTCTTTATATTTTTGCATTAGTTTGACCAATCCAGATTTTAGACTTCAGACGTAAAAACAGACAGTCTTACTGATTCAGACTTCAGTACCAACTCTTAAAAATCAAAAATGAAATCAAACTTTATATTTCAACACCTCTTAAAAAAAGTCACCATAATCTTAATAATAAAAATAATAATAAAATATAAATCATGAAACGAAAACATAACAAATTATAAATTATAGTGATGAAAATCGAAACTGTAAGGACCAGAATCGTAATCTTTCACAAACAATGGGGGAGGAAAATGATAGTTTACTTTTTTTAGATATGATAATTTATGTAATATTGAAAGAAAATAAAATAAAAATAAAAAAAGGGTTGGGAAGTTGGGGAAGATGCATGCATTGTGTGTCGTTGAAAATTGGACGGCAAATGTTAATATAATTGAGAAAAACGAATAATGAAAGTGGAAATGTTAGGGTGGAAGATGAAATCCAGATCCACGTCAGGAGATAAACCACGTGTCACTGTGCAGAGGCATCTCATATTCCCACAGGCCGTCAATCAAACTGCTGCCCCCACCTTCCAACTTGTTCAACTCCCGACTCATTTTCTAATTATTTAACCAAGATATTTTCTACACCCCATTTTTTTTATTGTAAAATTAAACTATTATATATTTAAAATTTAAAATATATTTAAAAGAGGATTTGTATTTTTTTATTACATTATTTATAAATCATGTATTATATGGGATTGATCTGGTGTTTCTTGATATATCTTATCTCGGTATATTTCATTTTAAGATGTATTCAAGGGCGTAGATTATTTCCTACATTTGTCACCTTAACTTTCATTCTCACTGGAACTTAACCATGTATATTTAACTATAAAATATTAGTGATATATCATATTAGTATTTTAAAAGCATCTTTAATAAATATCAAAAGTCGTTTACCAAACACTTATTCGATAAACATTTATCGGTAAAAATTCAACACTAAACATTTACTTACCGGTTAAAATTTTAACCAGGGTAAGAATCATAGGTAAAACTCTTGGTCCTTGTCTTGTTCGTACCAGGTATGATTTATGGTTCTTACCGTATTCATACAATAAGGTAGTATGACTTAATAAGCGCTTGACTTGTCTTCAGTTACTTAAGTAAGCGTTTGTAGACGACAATTAATGATATATCATGCTAGTATTTTTAAAGCATCTTTAATAAAACGTCACTATAAACAAAAAGTGCAAGTTTTTATAAGATTTACTACCGTAAAAAGTTCATAAAAAAACTTTTACATTTTTTAATTTCTTATACAATAATTTTGATATATTAATAAAATCATATGTTTTCTTGACTTTCATATAATAATAATTATTAAAAAAAGTCTTATAAGAACCACCATTTTAATTTTATATATAAGCTTTTAATTTAGATTTTAGTGAGTAAAAATATATGAAAAAATTATATATTACAAAAACTTTCATTGAAGATGCATATGGTTTTTAATGCATTTTAAATGATGGATTGTCCAATAAATATTTTCATTCAGATATATGTAAAATCGAGAGATCAGTTATCAAAATTTAAAATTTTATTTTGATGGTGAATTTAAAATTTAACTGTATTTTGGTCATACAGTTTTTTTATTGCAAAAAAAAAACTCGTGTGCTAACAATATGCTTGGTTTGCTCCCTTCCACGAACGTTTATTAACTTAGGGGCTGTTTGGCAGTTGCTGAATGATTTAGTGCAGAATGATTAAGAGGGTCAGAATGGTTAAGTGCATAATGAAATAAAGTTGTTTGGTAATTGTTCTCTGAATGACAACAAATTACCATTTTAACCCTTAACGAATTTCAGAATTTTCCCCAACCAACTCGTTGTTGCCCAAATTTGGCTACTCAATAGTTACCATTGACTGCTTCTTCATGATAATGGAACTGGGTGTGCTTTTCTTATCACAGTTCTTAACCCTCGATTTTATTTTTGGGTTCTATGATTTGATTTTGATTTCAATACAGAAGAGACTTTTTGTGGTTTTGATTAGGGTTTCACTCACTTTTGGATTTGGGTTATGTTTTTCCTGGATGAGACGTTACCGATTTCGTTGATGGGATCTAAGGATTGTCGCCGTCGGGAAGGAGAAGTTATGGGATCTACCGATTTCGTCGCGCCGATGCCATTCCAGAGATGATGAAGACGATGATGGTCAAAATAGAGAGATTCTGGTGAAGGCGACGATGGTCAAAATAGAGAGATTCAGGTGACGGTAGAGAGAGTAGAGTAGATAGGGGCTGTTTGTCGGCCGATTGTCGTCGGTGACGAAAAATGGCAACGAACAGGGGAGTGGGAAGGAGCAGTGGGTAGAGCCATTGATGTGTGTTGTTGTGGAGGGCAATATGATGGGTTGATTTGTAAGTCTGCATCTGAGTGTATTTTGGTAGATTGAGGAGATGGAGATGAAGAAGATGATTTGAGGAAGATTACCAGAAGAACAAGCAGGAGGAAGAAGGTGCATGAAGAGAGGGGTTGGGAAGAAGGGTTGGGAAGGGTAAACTTGGGAAAATAAAAGTCTGAATGGTTTAGTGACCCATTGGTTGCAAAATGGTTAAGAGGGTTATGTAACCATTAAGAGGCTTAATTTTTTTTGCCAAACACTCCTTACCTCTTACCGATTAAGAGGTTGGCTCTTAATGTCACCATTAAGAGCCAAACAAACAGCCCCTTACATAAGTTAATTCACATGAGGATAAAATTAGTCATTTTACGTTTTTCTTTGTCTTAACGATCTTCCTCCCACCACCACCCATCATCTCTTAACACAACCACCTTAGCTCCTCTCCAACTGCCAACCATCGTTTAGCTTCACCTCTACATTGATTTGTTCGTCCATGAACGACGTTGACGACCACCATTCCATGTTCCTTTCCACTTCTCTTTAACACCTCCCTCTATCCCTTTTCTTTTCTCTTCTTATCGCCGTTCTCCCCCTACTTTAACCGATCTCTAATGCCCCTTCACTAGCAAACTATCCCCTATCCTTGCAAATTATTGTTATTTGGCTCAAATAATATAAAAAACTTCACCATTAGAGGCTAGAGATTGGTTAATATTAAACGGTTGACCTGATGGTATTAGTGGCTTTGTAGAAAAGAGGAATGAAGAGATAGACGATGGCAATCGTTTGACAATGATGGTTTTCATTCTTTAAAGGGAATTCTGTGATACTTGAATCGGGATTTTCGATTTTTGTGTTTATAAAACTAGGGTTCTTTGATTTTGTTGTTATATATATGATTTTGGTCACCATGAATCAAGAATCTATCGGTTTTACATATTGTGTTTGAATTAAAATTTGGGTATGAATTCTTGGAGTTCAATAAGTATTTATTTATATTAAAAACGACCACAAAACTTTTTACTTAACAAATCTATTTTAACAGAATAAATGAGAGGGACCAAAACCAACCTTTTCGCATACTGTAAGGGTTTTGTTTGCAACAAAAAAAATCATAGGGGATGATATCCAAGAAATAGACAAAATTACAGGGATCAAACTGCAATGAACTCTCTATATAAATTTTATAATGTTATCTTTCATAAAATGAAAATGAAATTGAAAAGGTGAATATCGGTTCGGGGAGTCCACAGTATAGGACCACATCCGTGTCATAAAAGGAAGCTTGTTTCTTCACCAAATCGTGGTAGCTTCTAATTGGGCCACGTAACCGTCAAACAGAGACTTCCACGTGGTGCCCTACGAATATCACCAGCATAAAGATTTTATTTCGGAATCAACGGCTTAGATTCCATCTCGGTGTTCAAATTTCTACGTCATACCAACTATACATGTCGGATGAGTCTACCCGTGACGGAGACGGGCAGCTGTCCGTCCCCACCACTCCTCCAGCAGGTATAATATGGTCTCTTCTCCATCCTCCTTCCCACAAACCTTTTATTCAATTTTTAAAATCTTCCTGGTCTTCGTTTCAATTCCGTCAAAGATTTCTCGTATCTCATCTTTTTACGTACACTTCAGTTCTAGCTTTGCAGAGCCTGAAATTTATTTGGATTTATTCGATTCATAATTTTTTTGATATGGCTGGTATGTGTTGTGGTGTCGTCGGTGAGACAAACACGCCATCCACGGTTGAGCATAGCGGTGGTCGTCAAGGGAGGCGTCGCCGGATGGAAATTCAACAGCTTAAATTCCTAGCGGCTGCCGCCTCTGACGTGGTGATGCCTCTTCCCGGGAGTACCGGAAAGCGAAGAAAGGTTGAAAGTCTCGATATGATTCAAACTAGTCGTAGTGGTGGTGATATTGCTGTGACTACGCCGGAAGGGTTCGAGAACGCAGTTCAGGCTTGTGATATGAAGTTGGAAGAAGTCGGATCTTCTGGTACTTCTTCGGAGACCAAGCGTTTGAATAGATGCGGAGCTTCGTTGGAGACTTTGGACAGAGATGTTTCTGATGAGGAAAATTCTAGATTCGGTCTCACCGTTGTGTGTGGAAGGAGGAGAGATTTGGAAGATGCCGTTGCTGTAAAACCGTCGTTTTGTAAGACGAGTTCTCAGAATTGCAACGACCTGCACTTTTATGGCGTTTACGATGGCCATGGCTGCTCGCATGTAATTAATCCGATCCTGAAACACTTTAGTTGTGTAAAATCCGTTATGTATAACTGAATTACTTTTTGTTTCTTTAGGTTGCAATGAAGTGCAAAGACAGAATGCATGAAATAGTGAAGGAAGAAGTGGAGAATGGCGAGAAGTCGATGGAATGGAAACAGACTATGGTGAAGAGTTTCTCACGAATGGATAAGGACGTAACAGAATGGAGCAACAATGCTTCGAGCTCGAATTGTAGATGCGAACTTCAAACTCCTCAGTGCGACGCCGTTGGATCTACTGCGGTCGTTGCGGTGGTGACTCCCGATAAGATCGTCGTCTCCAACTGCGGAGATTCGCGTGCAGTTCTTTGCCGGAACGGCGTTGCTATTCCCCTATCCTCCGATCATAAGGTATATATTAAACAATCGCAACACCTGCCTGGATTTCCATCATCTTTCCCGTCGTTTGTGGTCTAGTTGATCTTATGTATACGTACCGATTCAATTCACTGACAAATTTGTTTCTGAATGTAGCCTGATCGACCTGATGAACTTGAGAGGATCGAAGAAGCTGGTGGCCGAGTAATATACTGGGATGGCGCTAGAGTTCTCGGCGTTCTAGCCATGTCTAGAGCAATCGGTATGTAATATGTTCTTATTCATCGAAATTTTGTTGAATACTTTCGAGATCTGGATTCTTCAAAACTGATTAAATGTTGGTGTTAATCATCTCAATTAATTTTTCAGGCGACAACTACTTGAAGCCGTACGTGATTCCGGAACCGGAGGTAACCGTAACGGAACGGACGGCCGAGGACGAGTGCCTTATCCTTGCCAGCGACGGCCTCTGGGATGTGGTATCAAACGATGTGGCATGCAGTGTGGCTCGCATGTGCCTGAGTTCCCAGGATGTTCCATCGCCGCCGCGGTCGCCGGGAAGTGAACTAAATGTTGCTCGCGGTGAGAGCTCCGACAAAGCATGCTCCGATGCGTCGATACTTCTAACGAAATTGGCGTTGGCTAGACGGAGCACGGATAACGTCAGCGTGGTGGTCGTTGATCTGAGGAGAACAGTATAGCCATAACCATAAGCCACTATTAATTCTAAGATGAAGGATTTGATGTCTTATTAACGATGATGAAGATATAAATGTATAGTTTTTTGAGGGAGTAATATCCCTCCGGTCCTCAATCGGACATGATATTAATCGAATTTCTTTCTTTCTGGTAAATTAAATCTGTTGATGTGCTCAAGAAACTAAATAAGAAAATTAAAATTAATATTAAATGATCCAATTAATTTAAATAATAAACACATGTTTAATTTGTATAAATGCGACATCAATGCTGTATTTGATTTATGTAAGTAGCATCTTTAACGAATATTCTATAGTTTCTTTTAAGAAAAAGTTATCTTCAAGCTATAATTATATTAATAAAATTTTATTCTTTCTTTTTATAATTTCAGTATATCTAAGGAAATAATTGAATATTATTTCTTTAGTAAATATAAAGTTTTATTCGGAATTTTTTTTGATAATATAGTTTTTAGAGTAGAATTATATTATATTTTTTTTATTTTAAAATAGTTGTTGAATGGTCTAAAGATAGGAGAGAAAAATCTAAAAAAATCAACTTCACTTTAGTTTTTAGAATAATTAAGTTTTTGGAACAAATAAGTCATTATACATTTCAAAACCTGTTAAATAACTATTTAAACTTTTTAAAATCTGTTATATACATCCTTATTATCTATAAAACTGATTAATATAATAAAATAATGAAAAAATGTTGAAAAAAGTCAATGGACTTATATTTTAAATGATTAAGTTTCTAAATATTTTTTGAATAAAAAAGTATTTATATTTTAAAAAAATTTATTGATAAAATTTATTTTAAATAAAAATAAAATATATTATATCAGAGATTTTTCAAATTAAAAAAAAATAAAAAAAATTTAAAAAGAATTATTGATTATATTTACTTTTAATTAAAAATAAAATATATTTCGTAATGATTTCTCAAATTAAAAAAAAATTATTATTGATATATTTTAATTTTAAATTAAAATAAGTTTCATCAATAATTTTTTAAAATCTTTTTTTTTAATTTCTAAAATCACATACGATGATATATTTTATTTTTAATTAAAATAAATTTAAGCATTAATCTAATTTTTTTTAATTTTTTTAGTTTGAAAAATCATTTGACAAAATTATTTTATTTTTAATTAAAATAAATTTTATCAAAAAAAAATTAAATGTAAGTTTTTTTTATTGTAAATATAAATACATTTTTAGTATATTTGTTTCATTTTTATTGATCTAAGCTTTTGGTTCAAAAAAATGTTTAGAGACTTAATCGTTTAAAATGTGAATGACCATTGGTTTTTTTCCCGACTTTTCTATTATTTTACCACATTAACCAGCTGTATAGATCATAAGAATGTATCTAACAGATTTTGGAAAGACCAATGAGTTATTTAACATGTTTTAAAATATCTAATGACTTATTTGTTCCAAAAAATTGTTTGCACACTTAATAATTCCAAACATTAAAGTTCATTAGATTTTTTTAGACTTTTTCCAAAAATGTATAAGAAAAGAAAAAACAAAATAATATTATGAGCGGTTAAAATATTTTTTTATTTTAAAATCGTTATTAAATTTAAGTCTCTACAATTATATTTATATGTTTTTCAAATCAGTATTTAAATTACAACAGTTTTTTTTGTAACAATAAATCCTTTAACAACTGTTAAAACGCCTACCATCTTTTTATATAGTTTTTCTTTTGGTTTCCATTTTGTATAAAGTTTTCTTCACCAAACAAAAAGGTTCAAATGTCCTAACTACCTGTTTGAGTTAATATAAGCTTAATAACGAACCGTCTTTATTATGTTAGTCGAACACCAGACATTAGGTACAATCATGTTACTCGAACGCTAGACATGTAGGTAAAATCATGTTGACGTGAAACTAAAGTCTAAAAGCCACCCTTTTAACTCGTGCTCGTCACGTAACTAGAAGTGGACGTTTCTTCCCATACAACATTACGATGACACGAGGAACACATTAATAGATGACCGATTCGATGGTTTTCACATGTCTACGTGATCATCAATTTCTTAAATATTGATATAAAATTGTTTGTTAGATATTACTTTATTAATAAAGTTCAAGGCATAAATGTCTTTCATCATATAACACAACCAAATAACATGAAAAGGAACAGTTTTAGATCAGGTCTAATTTTTTCCGATTAAGATAAAATAATACCAAAATAAATGCCCATAAAGAAAAATACACGTAATTTTAAGAATACGAATATATATATATATATATATATATATATATATATATATATATATATAACATTATTCAGGTGTTGGGCAGACCTATGAAGGCTCTATTGGGATCTTGTACAATCGATTTTCACAAGTGAATTAATTAGAGTGCTTGGTATAATAGAAAACAGAAGGAATGATCAATCAAAAATTGAAAAGAAAAATCCCTCGAAATCAATCAAAATAAAAAGGGTTCAAAATCAATAAAAATTCTAGATCCACATTTCGTTATGGATATACAAATATAAAATGAAAAAACGTGTGACATTTTATATAGTAATTATAAGGACAAAATGCGCAATCTACTTTCATAAATTTCTTTATTATTTCATTATACTTTCAGTTTTTCTTATTACAACAATGTGCTTTCAAACTATTTTTTATTACAACATTGTATTTTGAAGAATTTATCCATTATAGCATTGGATAACCTTTTGATTTAAATTTACCAATTATACCAGGATTCCATTTCACATCATTGTCCACGTAAGTTGTCCACATGTACTATAGTGATGTGATTTTTTTATTACAACATTGTACTTTTAAAATTATTTTATTATAACATCTACTAGTTTTTATTAAACAATGTACTTTTAGTTTTAATATTTAGATGTTTTACATGTTATTTAATAAATATATTACATATATTAAATGAATTAAAAAATTTAAATTATTCATTAATATACCAGTATTAATAAAACTAGTAGAAGACAACTTATCTCGCTATTTTTTTTAAAATGTGTTTTTTGAAAAAAGAAAATAAGAATTGATTTTTTTAACCAAAAAAATATTATATTTTAAAGAATATATTCTATTTGTTCAAAAACTTTTACTTGACATATAAATATGTTAAATTAATTAGATTTTATTGAATTATTTATTAATATAACAATATTAAAAAATTGTAGAACACAATTTATTTTATTAACATTTTAAAGAGAACTTTAAAAGATATGTACTTTTTTGAATAATATAAAATAATAAGTGTTACATTTGTTACAAACAAAATATATGTCGAAAATAATGTAGCATATTTATTTAAGAAATATTTTACGTATAATATTTAATTTGCATGCAACTTAATAAGAAAAAGTCAAAAAAATTAAATGTTTTTTTAAAATCATAGCAACAAAAAATAAAAATCACTAATAATAATTTGGAATATGCTTTTATTTTTATTTTAATTAAGTCATCACAATGATGTGTCATCCACATCACCTCATTAAAGTCACATAAGCAAAAAAAAAAAAATTAAAGGGTTAACTGGTTTAAAAGTTAACAGATTATTCATTGCTGTAATTGATAGATTTTTTAAAGTACGATGCTTTTTAACCCTAATAATAAAGACGATAGTGTACATGTTTTCCCCCAAGCCAAAAAAATCAACGACTAAAATTGATTAATGAAAGACGGGAGAGATTGCCGGAATCCGTGGTGGTGGTGGTGGTGTTGCGTATGTGGATGGATAGACGTGAACTCTTGATCAGAATGGGAAGCATCAGGTGCAGGTGCAGCTGCGTCTACGGTTGGTTTGGTCCAACCCCACGGCGTCGCTCTCTGTGTGCTGGATTCCAATCTAAATATCATGTGGACTCCAAGTCAATATTTATACCTAATTACCAAAACCATCCCCATACTATCCATCTCTTTCCATCTTCAGTCCTTTCATTATTTTCCTTTCACCTTTCTAACAATTCATTTTCAACAACAATAAACTTCAGTTTTCCTTTTTTATCATTTTATTTTAATTAAATATTCGTCCTCTCCTTTAAAAAATAAACCAAAAGTTAGAAAATCAATGTATTTTGAATACTTAACAAATACGATGGTTAAAAATATTTCAATAATAATATACACCCGATACCGTAATAGATTATAAACATCGAAAATAACCGTAAAGATTGAAGAAAAACAACTGGTAACTAGAAACTGTATAATGCTTAGTTACAGTAGTTTCTATAAGCATACAAGCTAAATTTGGATTCTAAGTTATTCTGTAAAATGTTTTTTTATGTTATGTCGCTTGAACATATCTTGCAAAAGAATAAAAATTTTATTGACATCAGGTTCTTATCTTAAAATCGTACTTCAAGATAAAATAGTTCTTAGTGGAAATCGATATTTGCTTTTCAATGTCAAAGATGTTGCTATATATCCTTAGAATCTCGCATTATCAATGATGCTATAATAAAATAAAAGGCGTTTCTTTGGTATATATGATATGTCGGGTTTGAATGACTGAAGATAATATTCTAAGATTTCAATCAAATCTATCAAACACGAAGAACCGTTTAGAAATCTATCTTGGCATATATCGGGCTTGAACTTTTGCATTGTGTTACGCTTTACAAATTATTGATCAATCAAGTCTCCATCAAAACCAGTAAAAAGCATCTTTGAAAGTTTAATTTGTTTCGGTAACATTTATAATATCGGATCATCTTGTTTTTTAGATATCGAATAAATCATTATATAGTTTCTTTTCTTCATATATCAAGTACCAAATAAAGTGTTACATTTTTTATTTAAAACCCTACTATTTAAAAGTACTTAATAGTCATGATTAAAATAATTAAAACAATACGCCAATTAACTGAAAATTACCAACCCCAGAACCGAAATACGATTTAAAAGTTAAAATCAAAGTTTCATCTGCTCTTTGACACGAACAAAAGTAGATATCTTGAGCGATAGCTGAACTAGTAAGATCTCGGACTTGCTGTCCATATGTTACTAATTCAAGTCTCATCCAGTCTTGACTTATGGAATGCTAAACAGTTGTTATGTTTTGTCTTTACTGTCCAGGTACCAAACGCACCCTAAAGAATTTGTCTGATTGTTTAACTTTAGGGCCATGGAACAAGGCAAGGTACATATAAGCTAACCCGTATGGTGTACACCCGCAATTACCAAAAAGAAAGTAGATATCATGTGTCATTAAAGCCTAATGGAGAAAAAGGGTTGCATCAGATGGTTTTGAATCCAGAATTCTGCACATAATGTAAGGAGTAACCACAAAATGCGGTTACCCGACTATGATACACAAGACTACAACTATAGAGCTTGTAAAAAACCGACACTTTATCCTCTGTAGTTTTCTACCAAACAAATAGGACCATCAAGCAGTTTGCTATCAAAGAATAAAATTATCAAAATACGTATGATGTGTACCTCGATTAATCAAACGGGACCCTACAGTTTGCCCTTGCTACCGCAGGTTTTTGTCACATGTCAAAACTCTATAACTTGCGTGAGGACCCTCAGCTGTATCACGTAGCATTACACGCCATCCAATCGCCTTCCCTATCTCTTCAAGTTCATTCATCACCGAAATGGAATCACGAATGTACACACGTCCCCCAGGTCTCAGAATTCTATCCATCTCAACCATGATGCTAGAAATGTTGCATCTGATATAATAATACGACATTAACCCAACACAATCAAAACAATAATCGAATATATTCATAAACAGGAAGAATAAATGTGAGATTTCAGCATTAACATATGGTTTTCTTATACTTATTAATGATATTCTTACGCATCTGGCCCGTGAAGAGAAATAAGTACCTTTTTTGCTCAATCGAGAAGAGGCCAGCTGCGTGCAAGAGATCATAGGTTCTTGGGTATGTATCGAATGGCTCACACCTGTGATTAAGATAGGTGATCAAGATGGGGAACTTATCATTATTATCAAGAACAAGAATCTACTAAAACTAGTTTATACCAATCATGCATAACTCCGAGAAGTCCACGATCATAGATGACAGGCAAGGTGTTGGGACCACTAACAGGAACAACGTTCATAACCCAACAATCTACTTGATTGTTAATCAAGGCTGCTGCAAAACTGGCAAGTAAAAAAGATTGATATTAAGGAGAGTTTAAGAGGCAAACCACACGATCCTACAACAGGGAAGGACAGAATGCAATTGGTAAGATACCTTCCAAACCCGGCTCTCATGTCCAGAACATTTCTAAGGTTGTAGGTTTTCCAGCGTAAAGCTCGTACATAGCTATCTATTATTTCTTTCCAGTATTTGGATTCTGCCCTAAAGAGATCTTTTCTCGATACATAGGCGTCAAGTTTTATGCTTTGGAGTCTCTCCGGAGGATTATCCAGTCGTTCAGGCCATGTGGTAATATTTGCTCCAGATAAGTCCTCAGGCAGTCGAGAAATACATGGCTTCAGGCCAACATACCTGAAGTGAAAATAAGTTAACACCATCAGTTCTGATTTTTATCAAGAAATAAGAAAACAGAAGAAAATATATACTTCAAAAAAAGTTATTTTCACCAAAAATTATTTTTATCACGAAATGGTCATTGGCCCAACGGTACCCGGGTTATTATGGAGCCCAGCCTCCCACCTAAGGTGAAGAGTGCATGTAAGTTTTGGCATCTATGAAAATTATATATTTAAAAAAAACCCAAAGAATTCTACCAATAGCAGAGTACTACTCGATCCCATAAAAATTAAAATTTATTATCATCATAAGGAACTATTGTAATGCTTCCCGTTAGCGTTTTGAGGCATCAAAATATTCGTGCGAGTTGGTATAGGGAAAGGACAAACATCTGTGGATGACAGTGAAGACAAAGGGTGCAAACAGAAGCAACAACAAAGTGACACGATGGTACTCGAACCAAGACAAAGTAACAGTACGGCGCTTAAGACCTCAAAGCAGATGACATGGATACCCTCTATGGTATGAATGAAGCTTATGTCCTGTGGGGGTATGGAGAACATTGATGCTGTGTAACAAACCCACCACCATACAAGTACAGTGGGGTTAGAGTTGGGGTCACAACAGGGGTCCATGGAGCAAAAAATGTCTCGATGAAGAAGATTTTGATAAAAATAAATAAAGGTTCAGTTTTTCCTCAAATTTATTCCCCTCATTTTCCCCTACTCCAGTATGGGTGGCTAGGCTCATTGCATATTCTCATGCGTGAGGAAATTAGGGTGTAACTTGTTCTAGTATGTTCCTCATTACTTTAGATTGTAATCACTTTTGGTTTCCTAAGACTTGTACTTTATGCTCGACGGAGTGATAATATTTGTGTTTACACTTAACATGTAAGAGTTTTTATACTGAATTCAAGTTCATGACTAAGGGGCCGTTTAAACAATGCTTACCCGGTAAGCACTTACTAGTAAGGGCCGAACACTTTCACTTAACTGGCCTGGTAAGATTTTAGTCCATTAAAACAACATTGTGTGCAACAACTTATCCGGTAAGCGCTTACCAGGTAAGAGTCGTTATTCTCACTTACCTGGTAAAACTCTCGGGCCTTATCATCGCTCTTACCGGGTAAGATTCTCAATCCTTGTCATGTTTATCCAATAAGGTAAAGTGACCCGGTAAACACTTACCAGGTACATGTTTAGTAAACGGCCCCTAAGTCATTTAATGTTTCAGTTCTGGTTCCCAAGAAGGTACAAAGACATGAATCAGTAGATCAATAGCTAATATCCAAAATCCAATTTAATGATTTGCCTAACGGATGGCTGCAGTGGATGAAGGAGGAAATATTGTAAGTTTGTAACTAGTCAAGCCCTAATCTCTCAAACAAGGCAACATCAAATTTTCTCCTTGATATTTCATTATTTCTTTAATTGCTTATCGCTTTTGGTTGCTAAATTCAGTTTTAGGAACAATCATTCAATCCGTTTTGTCCAAACACTCTTAAGCATTTCTGATCAAATATAACCATAGGGTCTTCATGGTTCAACGTGGATCATCCTTGCAAGATATTACCTTGGTGTACCTTTAGGCTTAAATAAATCATAATTTACTAAAGCTAAGTAAATAAAGACATGACTAGAGAGAGATTTCGTTTTTGAACTACTTATACACATGCAAGCTCAGTTTGCTAATAGAATTTACATGGATTTCTATTGGAACACACACTGAATAACCAAATAACATTGACCAGTATAGTAAAGAATTCAGGCGAAATGCATAAAGTAATTCAATAGACCTAATTACAGTTATAGCAAATGCAAAATTGTATATTCTACTAGACATTCTAGTGCTGATAATAAGAAAGCAAAAAGGATGAGATCCAAATACGGATTCTCAGAGAAAAGCCAAAAGCAAAACCAAGGATTGCCTCTGTTAAAGGCTTAAACAAAAGGTGGTTTTCAGAAATAGTAATCACACATGAAATAAGCTTTTGAACGGTACATCCAAGAAAATGCAAAGCATATGAATCCATCCATATATCACAACATAAATGAACCACTGATACCACAATGTGCTACCATCATGGTCAAGACTAAAAGAAACATTGGTCAACACCACACAAGATTTGTACTTATGAAGTTGGCCAAATGATCTACAATCACCACCATATTTTCATGCAATAAATCATCTTGGGTAATATCTCCTAACATTAACGTCTGAAGAAAATTTGCAACTTGATATAGTAATATATACCATGAACCACAAAAGACCACATGATTTAGCCGAGTCAGAGAATAGAAAAATACCAAACATCGTCTGGATCATCCTCCTCGTCACACAATGGTGGTTGGGTCCCCAATTCACGACTTAAATAGCAACTGTTGTTAAGGGGTTTCTGCCATATTGCAATATATCCCTCTTTCTTCACAAGATTCCAGCAAAGACGAGTTGTAAGGTTGATCATCTCTGAGAGAAAGAAAAAAAATGGCACTTTGGTCAAGAGATATAGTCTTTAAGTACACATTGAAACTTCACAAAGATACTACAAAATAAAGCTAGCAAGAAAGCAAGTTATAATCACAATTTGGCAATTAGACATCAGGGTAAGTTACAGCACCAACTTCTCAGATTTACCTCTTCCTACTTTTCAAGAGGAACTGAAATCATGAACTCAAAGTTATGTATAAGCTAGGGTCTGATAAATGACTTTCCTGCCAACTCCTGAGGACTAGGGAGCATTCAATAAGGTCAACATTGCTACAGAAACAGGTTGACACAGTTAATTGCATCCACCCAGTTCAGTAATAAAATGATTCACTGAACTCGGCCACTTCTTTAATTCTAATGTTCACTCAGTTATCCTTTTTAGGAATTCATTTCATCCTTTTTCCTGAAAACAGTGTACGATTCAGGTTTCGCAGGTTGACTTTTCGCTATTTTAATTTTTTTTGCAGGAGCATCAACCATTTTCAAGTAGCAAGGTCAATAATGACAGTAGAAAGGTTATATCCTTGGAGGCATAGAGCTATTTAACTAGTCCTAGATTTATCCAAGTCAATTTTACCAACAGGACTAATAGAAGGTATAGTAATTTCTTGTCATGCATGTAAAGATATAGCTGCATGCTCTGGAAAAACACATGAATGTTGCAAATTGGAGCAGCCCTTCAGCAAACTAACAATGTTACCTTCCCATTGTTCTTCAAGAAGTGGTTCATGCTTATAAACTGGTTGTGCTGCCCAAGCAAAATATCCTCCGGCCCTTAGCAATCTATTGACCTCAAGTAGCAAAATCCCATCTTCATCAAATTACATGTAAAGAAATGAAACAAATTAGAGTGTCCCGGTTCGAGACTCGGAAGTAATGTAGACTATATGAGCCAAAATATTGGAGCTATCAATGTGCATGATAAGAATACACTAAGAAAATAAATAAGGTGGGATTCATTTCATGACCCTCGTGCATAAGATGAAAAAATTACATGCTTACAACATTTGGACATCAAGAAGCAACCAACACACCCCTCGTGAGCAGCTGTCCATAATTTTATTAACTAACATGCACATGACATAGCACACATAGAAGAAATCAATATGGAATTATTGCCTCGCCAAAGCTTGATGGAGATTAAGAAAAATGATTATTCTTCAATAGCAGTAGTATTGGGTCTCCTTACTCAAAAGAGCTAGCAATGAAAATAAGATCTTCATTGAAGGGTGAACTAGGGTATATAGGGATAAATACAAGTGCAAGGGTCAATATATATTCTGCAGGAGGGGGGGCGGAATTAAGAAGGCATTCATATAACATAACACACTTGATCTTCTTAGACAAAAAGTTACTAATCATGAGAGTTGAGACTTACCATCACGGGTCCAATTGACTCTACATCTTGAGCAATGAATTAATTCAAAAGCCTGGCTCGGATATAATAGTCGCCTTGTTGCAAAAGCTGCCACCATGGCAGGCACACCACGTTCTAGTGCAAATTGAATTTGGTTCTCATGAACATCTTTTGGTGCAACAGACATGGTGAGTACATTCCGTGAAAATAGATAGGCACTGAAACTTGCCACACCACATCCAACATCTAATGCAACCCGGGTATGGCGTCCAAATGCAATGTCAGGGATCATCTACCAAGACGAATCAAGCATCATAAGAAACAGGTATCCAATACCAGGCTGTTAACTCCATTAAAAAGAAAGCCAACTTTGTAATAGAAAGAAGCAACATTACATGAATTCCTTTTAAGATTATACCTGTGAAATCTGGTCCAAGTACTGGTCTGCCCCATGAATGAACTGTGTACCACCTCCCGGAAACTTAAATTTATCCTTGTCTACAGTAATCCAATTTTGACCACCCTTATATTCAGCAAGCTGTGCATGTGGAACATTACTGTACCACACCTGTAACGAAGTGCAAAATCAAAATATCATAAAAGGGGACAGAATGCACCTTCGATGTCTAAAACATCATTTAGCTACCAAAATTGGAGTGTGAATTCAATAATTTAAGCTGCCAATTATAGAAAAAGGTTCAAGTTTTTGAGTTTATTGCTAATTTTGCATATAACTATATTTTGTTTTTGCACGTGTTATCTAGAATTAGTGGAAAGCCAAAATGATCTATCCTGGATTGCCCACTTCTTTATACAAGCTTAGCTGCAAGACAATTTGAAATTCTTGTAAGATGATTGTAGTGCAAAAACTCCTCACCATTCTGTTAGTAATCAGTACGGAAACAGAAACTGGGCAGTCTAATACTGGATCTCATATCAAATTGTTCCTTACAGAAAATGTATTCAAATTCGCACCATATGCACATCAGAAACTAAGGAAAAGGTTACCTCATCACGACTTCTTGGCCAAGGAATTGGGGCTTTGTAACCCTTTGGCGCTGGTACCAAACAATTCAATCCCTTATCTTTCTCTGGACAATGCCGCTCGAACTTCTCCCCTTTCTCAGTGGATTTCAACCCCTTAATCGCCTCCTCATTATCTAAACACGGTATATACTCCCTCATACTCACCGGACAAGTATCAAACTTCGGAACCCTAAACGTAACTCCTTTATCACCTTCCACCACTTTTGTTTCATTATTCCGATTCTCCCCCACGTCGGGATCATACTCCCCCACCTCAAATTCATCCCTCATCACCCCATTCTCATCCACTACCCCTAGCCTCTGCACCGTCGGCGGCGGCGGCGGCGGTGGCGGAGGTGGCGGAGAAAGCAATGATGCAGGCGGAATTGCAGCTAGCGTGTGATCTGCTACTGTTTCTACCTCTGTTGTGTCGTTAATTAAAGACTTGATATCGAAGGTTTTGTTAAAATTGGGTGAAACCGAAATCGAAGGGGGTTTCGCATTTGGGCTCGAGTTCGAACTGAAAAAGATCAACTGCTGATAAGTATCATCGGACCAATGCTTACCTAAATAGAAAAAAGATAGTGCTATGAAGGCAATCCCGGCGGTTTTTACCACAATTGACGATTTTAACAACCCAGATCCCTTCATCTTTGCAAACACCATCACCAGATCCGAGCCGCTCCTCCCTCCTATGATCTTGATTACACGTTTATATGTAGACTAACAGTTCAAGGATCTGTGTGTGTACACGCATTCTCGTCACCAAGATCGATAGCTCGAACTGTGCCAGCAATTCAGTGAAGTGTTGAAGTCGCTTTATCTCCCTCCCTCTTGGCGTATATTATATGTATATATTTCTGTGCCAACGCCCAATGAAATGAAGTGCCTTAAACGACACCTGAATAAATATATAAGTGCCTATACACACCTATATCCCTCTGTATAGCTCTTTGTGTGATTCCATGAAGAAGAGGATTGAAGAAGGGCTAATGAATCCGTTTGGTTGCATTAAAATTTTGAAGATCACATTCACATCTAGATTTAGCTTAACCAACTAATCATGACCTTTATAATTACCATTTACCAATTTGATATATACATTTGAGACCCCTTAACTTTTTCTGTTAGTCATTTCAGGCCCTTTAGCTCATTGGTCAATGGTGGAGTATATTACACTTTTAGTCCCTATGGTTTGTTAAAAATTTACGACTTTTATCATTGGGATTGTGAAAATACAGTTTTCATCCTTATAGTTTGTAATTTTAATCGATGAAAATAACAATAAATTATAAATCATAGAGATGAAAATTATAATTTCAAAAGCATATTGACGAAATTAGATAGCAATTTTCAACAAAACACAAGAACGAAAAATGTAATTTACTCTATCTTTATTTATATCCTTCGTCATCAACATCCCGAGTCCTGTAATACAAGGAAAAACTCACTGGATAAACTACAAAATTGGGTTCTTGGACAATTCTTTCGTTTGCCTACCTCACTTTTACTTGTTCAGTCACATCTCGTCCAACCTTGTCTGCATAAACACACCCTTAAGTTCTTTTCACCAGTCTTGTTATGAATGTCTAAAACATAAAGGGTGTGAAATTGATTTATGGATATTTATTACAATGATCTATAGTTTGGATTAAATGAATGGCTACAATTTATTTGTCAGTGATATGGATGTCTAAAATATAAGGGGATGAAATTATGTATGAATTTGAAAAAGACATCTTGTTCATTTTCTATAACGACTGCAATTTTGATGTAGTTGGGCATGGAATATAACTTGTTTGAAGTTGGTTGGAGGGGCATTGGATATGGACCATGCAGGTTGGGTCATAAGCGAAATAACGTTCGAGTTTAACATTCGTTTTTCACTTGATTTCGTCATGAAAATAATCGTGAAACTAAACAAGATATGCGGTATATGTCACTTACTTAAATAAATACCACGTATAATTTAACGTATCCTGATTAATTCATTTGTGCGTTTGAGTTTTTTCAATAAAGCCTTGGTTAAAGTGAACAACAAAAACCTTTGTTGAGATTTTGGACATTTTTTTTGTTTTTTTTGTTTTAGTTTCTTCAAAGGTGATCCTGCTGTTTTTAGTGATCTTTTTATTTTTCCTTTTGCCATTCAAAGTAAATACGAGAAATATGCTAGTCATTTTACTTCATTATATGAACACTTGTTTTTTCAAAAAAAAATATTAAAATATTTTCACCTAAAATGTAGTTTTTAACTGGATTTTATACATTTTAGGAAAAACGTGTACTTTTACTTTAATTAAATGAAGTTTTAGATTGCATGAAACTTAGTTCAAGTTAGAGCCGGTCCTACTTTAGTGGTGCTTAGGGATGTCTGATTGAGATTAAACCAATTACTTCGAGCGGTATTTGACAAGCATCAAACATGTAAAATTTAGACTAAGATAATTGTTGAAAAATAATACATTTTTATATGATAAAAATTTGTCATTGTAACTTAAACTTAAACAATTAATTATCCAATTGTGCCAGATTTCTTGTTAAACATCATCAATCATTGTTCAAAAAATAAGGAGCAAGAGATTAGTTTATTTAGTGACAATTATTAAAAACATGTGTATCATGGTATAATACTTTCATCTTTTGAGGTTTAAATGTTATTTGTGTTATCAACTTGTTTATGCTATACATGTTTTGACTAAAAAAACCTAAATTTTATGTAACATATGTCGGGTTTTCGGTGATAAAGAGAGTCAATGTGAAAAGCGTAAGAAGGGATCTCCACCCTTGGTTGCACATTAGGATGGGATGCACTGAATCAATTCCCGTGAAGAATGTAATTCATGGGTGGACAATAGATTAAAAGTAATAAAAGGTTCAAATTCATTTACACGCTTCTCATTTTAACTCTCATTTTTCATACGATTATTCGTTTGTGTAACTTATATGAATGAGGATCTTGTATAGAACAGGATTGAATAAAATTATCCACTTTTTATTTTTCCAATATAATTAGCTTTTTTTCTTTCAATTTACTATATTTTTTATTTTGGTTTTTTCAATTGCCTTCGAATAAGGATATTGGTCAAGGGAGATCAGGATTAGAGGAATAACAGTTGGTTTTTTAGGATCAATAGTTCAAATTACAATATATTTAGCCAATGCATTCTTTATGTTTTTTTATAAAATATATCCATAACATTGACTAAATTAGAACTTATAATTGACCGCTTATTATAACTTTTAAAAGATCACCTGAATCCAAATGCTGACTTTGCCCTTGATTGTCTTTGATGGATATGTGATAGCATACCATGAAATTGTGTTGCATGGTATACTTAAATGTTATTTATTACAGTGTAGGTATATTAAGAAATTTCAGTTATTTGTTACCAACCAAAAGTCATGATACAACAGTTAGTGATCATTATTATGTGCATATACGCTATTAATCGCTTGGTCAACAAATTTCGTTGTAAGTCAAAATCTTTCAACTTCGTGTAGGATCTTGGACATGTTCGTTTTTATCCTAAATTCCTAGATTTATAGATCAGTCGTTTTTTATTTTTTTCATCATTATTGTAATGTTTTTTATTTTAAAAATAATCAGATTGAATTATTCGAATGTTTTTAAAATATCAACACATGAATAGCGCAATAAATGCAACCAGGATTGATTGTACGGATCAGACTGGTGAGAAGGCAACAAGTGACTTGTAGATGGTTTACATGGTTCCATTGATATTGTAAATTAATTTATTTTAATCGTGGTTCCATTGATATTGTAATTTGAGGTCATCTGATTCTTCTGCCTTTTGGCCCATTTATGGCCCAACTATTATTACCATTTATAGTAGGTTCCTATGTTGATGTCTCCATGACATTATAATCATAGACTGGGCTGGCTGCAATAATTCTGAAAACGAAATATCGGAGCTTTATGCGTTGGTCGACACAAATATCAGAATTTTTTTTATTAAAGTATATTTAATAAATTAATTATTGTTAAATAAAATAATAGTTGTTAAATGTAAAATAAATAAAAAAATAACATCGATTAATTTTAACATTATCTTTTTAGAAACAAATTAAAATAATAATTAATAATATAATATTTAAAATGATTAAAATTAATAATAAAAGAGTGAAATAGTGTATTGGTTATTTGGTTTTACGGTCCAATCACGAGAAGGTAAAGACGAGATTGGATACGTGACTGCAAGGGCATCGTCCAGGAAAAATATTCCGATGCGGTTAGTTTTTCCCGCTAAATTTTAATGGACACGTGGCATTAAATAGAAGGGCCACACCAACTAACCACGCTCATCATAAGCTCTAGACCGACCTTCCAGAAACTTCTCGCGAACTCGTGGCTCAGAATGACCTAACTAATCCTCCGGTTCATATCACGCCACGTGCATATACACCAACGTGAGCATCCAACGTGGCACCCCTTCCCCCCCGAAATTGATACGGCCTTCTTCTTATTCGCATGCTACGATTTAGGGCACTTTCTAGAAATAATTTCAACTCTTCCAAGTTTCTACTTCGAATAACGTTGGAGAAGAACATCAATCGTACACATTGTTCCGTCAAATCTCGTTGATTTGGGGTTTGTTTTGTTGGGTTTTAGTTAGGGTTTCGGAAAATTAGAAATGAATGGTGAAGGCGATGAAGATATGAAAATGGAGATGAAGTGTGAGGAGAAGTCAGTGTATATGTGGGGATATTTACCTGGAGCGTTACCTCAAAGGTCGCCGATATTGTCTCCGGTGGAAGTTAGGCTCCCGCAGTCAATTGACGCTGGTCGGCTCTGGGCAGATGTCTGTGGCGGCGGTTGTGGATTTGCTATGGCCATTTCAGGTTTGTAGTCTCTGATTCATTCTTTCTTTGCGACTAAGTTTATATGAGTCGTAAAGCTTTTGAGATAATTTGATTTAACCAAGGGAGAAGTCTAAATTCGTAACATTTTCGCATGTAATATGAACTCATTTGCAATCGAAAGCCAAAATGTACGTATTTTTGGGGAAATGATGGATTCCAATACCTTCATATTTTCTTTTAGACATTTGATAGGAACAATAACTTCCTTTTTTCTTATGGGTTTTAATTTACTTCAGATTTGTTGATCCATCGGGTTCCTTTTTTTGTAAATTATAGCAAATTCTTCATCTTCTTAATTACTACAAGCAAAAAAGTTCAAGTGGGGGTGGTCATATACTCATATATAAGTGTGAGTGTTATTCGGAAGTTGGGATCAATTATTCTTCCATCCAAGATGCGATTATCTTTTTTCCCTCCATTTCAATCTCGGGAGACTTTGTGCCCATATTGTCTGCCGAAGAGTTAAGAACTCAGGGATTCATATGGCCGGACGATTTTAGGATTTAAAGCAAAATATGGACTTGGTGGGAAGGAAAAAAACGAATTCCTGAATGGAAACGGCCGCTCTTCACTTTGGATAGGGGACCTTTGGTTTGGTTTGTTCTTTGGGAATGGGGTTTTAACATTTAAAGCAGAGCATGGGCTTGGTAAAACAAATGAGTTCTTTTTATCTTTTATCACCAAATGAAATAACAATTTTGTGAATCAATCACACATAGTTTAGTGCTCATACATATTTGACACAGTTTAGTGCTCACGCTCATATTTGACTTGGAGCTGACATTGTTAGATTTCAAATGTCAGCATTTCTGTAATTATTTAATGTTGCTTTTTAGGGTGGAAGTGAAGGGTTTTCTATAGTCATGATTCCAGTTCTTTTTTTGTGCTCGAAACCCTGGTAAACCTCCAATGTGGGGACCTGAAATAGTTATTATCTTGCCAAAAAGGAATTTTAATGTCTGTGTTGTACCCTAATAAAAGGTTTATATTTCGTACACACTTTTGGAACATCCTTTCCCTTACTGGCCTTTATTCAATTAGACACAGGGAAGCTAATCACATGGGGTTCAACAGATGATCTCGGTCAAAGCTATGTGACATCAGGGAAGCATGGGGTATAAAAATACAGCTTGATTTCTATTGGTCTATTTATTGAGCTTCTTCTGAAAGAAGCTAATGTGCAGTTTTTTACTTGTTTTTGTTAAGGAAACGCCAGAACCTTTCCCTCTTCCGAAAGAAGTTTCAATAGTGAGAGCTGCAGCAGGTTGGGCGCATTGCGCCTGTGTAACAGGTACTACTGTTATCTTTATTCGAATCTGCTATGATGAGATTGCGCTTGTTTAGCGTTTTCTTGGAGTTGCTGTGAAACTGCTGCGTGATCTTTAGATGTTCCTATGTTTCAAAGGTTTTAGTGACGCGGAGGTGCTAGGAGTTGCACATTCTCTTGCACTCATATGATATTCCTCCTCAAAAGTAAGATGCTGAATTGGAACACAGGGAGGAGCATAGCCCTCTATTTTCTTAGTAATTGTCACAAAAATGGAGACAAACATTTTTGGCTCTCCTAAATTTTTTATCTATTGTCTGCCTGAATTGGCAAAAAGAAACATGATCTCATGCCTCCTGCAGCTGTGAATCACCAGAAATTGAACTATTACTTTAACAGACACACCTAGGGGTAATTACCTTGTGGTAATCTGCCACTTGTTGTAGCTTCCCTCCATTATGAAATAATGAGAATGCTTGGGAGCAAAGTTCCCTTGTTAGTCCCTCTTTTTATTGTGAATGAAACAGACAATTGAAATAACATGGTCATATTTCATGAATTGCATGCTATATTTGTTAATTTTCTGCAGTTGCTGTTTTTGGGCAAAAGTGTTCTTATTGGGGATTCCTTCAACTGTTCTTCAAATATCAACTGCTTACTATAATCCGCACTATGATTTTCTTGGTCAGTCATCCATAACCACAAGGAGGGGAGTTGTAATTGGAGGAATTCAAACATGAAAATCCTGTCTGTAGTCCCATCATACTTTTAAAACCTTGCAAATAAACCTCACTTTATGTCTGCAGTGGCAGGGGAGGTTTATACATGGGGATGGAAAGAGTGTGTTCCCTCTGGGAAAGTTGTTGGAGACCCAAACACGGCTCAAAGTCAAGATAAAGATGTATTTGAGAGGCAGAATCCGTTTTTGACGGAACAAGGTAATCCAATTTCGACTCTATGCCAGTCATTGCAGGAGCTTTTGCAACTGTTATTAACTAAAATTCCCAAACGTACTATAGTTAGCCCTCGATCCCACGGTTCAAGATCCACTGGTGGTGCAGCCTCTGGCGTGGACGGTAAAGCAATTGGGGATGAAAATACTAAGAGGAGACGTGTATCATCAACCAAACAAGTGGTTGAAAGCTCATCGTCGGGTGATGAGCCTCTCTCGGCTTTGCCCTGTTTGGTAGCATTGAATCCGGGAGTAAGGATAGCAACAGTTGCAGCTGGTGGTCGACATACGTTGGCATTATCAGGTAAATCACAAACTATTTTGATTAGGTGGCAGTTATTTCTTTGTAACTTATTAGAGCAATATTCTTAATGTATTGTAACTTCTCTGAAGTTTCAGATATCGGACAGGTGTGGGGTTGGGGCTATGGAGGTGAGGGGCAGCTAGGTTTGGGGTCTCGCATACGAATGGTATCTTCACCGCATCCTATACCCTGCATTGCTACATCTTCTGTAGGAAAAGATAGATCTGCAGCCCTTCCCAGAGGAAGCATGGGCTCAGAAGGGCAGGGTTATAGAGTCCCTGGAAATTACATAAAAGGGATTGCTTGTGGAGGACGACACAGTGCTGTAGTTACTGGTAAGGTTTTCAACTCCGTACAGACTTTCAACGGAACATTTTAATAGACTATATAACTATTATGTTAATGGTTTTCCTTGTATGCTGTACTAGTTCGGTAGATAATGATTATGGTTGTGCTGATAATATATTCTGGTCTATGTTGCTGGGCATATTTGTGAGCTCTACTGGGTATATTTGTCATCGTATGGCTTTTAACCTTCTATTTATACATCTACAGATGCTGGGGCATTAATGACTTTTGGTTGGGGACTCTACGGACAGGTGAAATTCCCTCGTTTTGAAAATATTTGTTCTATTCTGTTTTCTTGTTCTGCTGTCTCTGTTTTTTTGGCATCCTCTTACAAACGATATGTGTGATTCTCGTGTGGAACTTGGACAATGATTCAATGATTTTCACTTATTACATGGTTTTGTTTCTTGTTTGCTTCAAGTGGGTGTGTTGATACTCCAATAGGGAGTATGTTCGCATGAGTGAAGATGGATATCCACTATCCAGCTGCCAATATGAAGCTTTCTACAATGTATTGGTGTCATCATCATATTTTTTCCTTATACTATTAAAGTTCACAACTTAACGTCTTTTAAGAAATAAATTTTAGATGTGTCATTTGCTACAGCACATAAGGGAGCCCTATATTACTTTTGGACAAAGTTTTGTTTTCTTGCTAGAAGTCATTGTTCAGTTGATTCTTTTGCTCCTATGAAAATACATTTCTTTGGGACCAAGGGGCTGCTCATCATTCACTTAAATTCAATTGGACAGGATGTGAGGATTTTATTAACTGAACTACTTGTATATAGTGAACTGAGTCCTGGATGGCAATTTATATTCCAGGAATAAAAGTAGAAAGATAACTTTCAAAATTATCTTACTGGGCCTAAGGCCCATGCAATGCATGGGTGTCCTATGTTAGTTTGACCACTTCTCCATTGAAATATGATATGATAAGATCTGGAATTTTTATGGCAATGAAGTATTTCTCCATCTTTGGTCTCATAATATTGTTGATACTTGCAAGTCAAGTGTTCTTAAGTAGATCATAGATTGTAAGCACATAGTCGATTTAGACAAGGGTTTCACGGTGCAGAAAACCCTGTAAATGATATATGTAGTTGCACAGTCTATCAACCAAACTTTAAAGAGTGGACCAACATAAATAATCAACCAACCACTTTTTATTTCATGAATGCGAAAAGCATAAACATTTCAATTGCCGAGGTAGTTTGATCCTATTTGTATATATAAATTAGTTTAATTGTATTTAGGATTTTTTTAATTGGTTGGATTTTAGCTCTTTAAAGACTTGATTATCTGGAAGAGTTGTAATTGATCCTGAGGTGCTTTGATTTGTTGGAAAATTTTCCAATTACAAAATATCGGTCTGAAATGACTTCTCGGCACATACAAATTAATGACGGAACTATGTGGGGTTTCCACAACAAATTTCGAAAAGCTGGACTCCCCACAATTTTCATGTGAAAAGAGGGTATGGGAGGGGCTTTCCTTTGTCACACAAGTATGAATGGTAGCTGCATGTTTACTTTGATACAATTACACATCTTCCATTTTATTCTGACTATGTGATTGAAGTCCAATGAAACATTCAAGTCTCAACTTGCTGCTTCCTTGCGCATGTAATGGTCATTTGGTACCCTTGGGCAAAAGTGGCTCATGAGATGTGCAACATTGTTGATATGCTCCTTCTCGACAGCTAGAGCTAGGAGAAAGAGGTCATGGTGGAGATAGGTTTACACACTATGCTACCCTTTTCATAAAGCTCCGCAAGAGAGAGAGCTATGCTTAGGTCAGTTCCTTCACTCCACCTTTTAGGTAAGCCAAAAGTTCACTTGTTGGATTGAGGGAAGGCTTTCCTTCTTTGTTGACTTCATTTAAGTTGGACCAGCCTCTTTTTGGGTTTCCATACCTCGGGACTTTATTAAAAAGAGAAGAAATATAAAATGTTCCCTCAGGAGTCTCGTGGAAGTGCTTATTTCTATTTAATCACATGGAGGATGTGTTCGTATTGGAGTTCAAAGTTCAGACTAAAGGTAGGCATTGACCACCCAAGTGTCAGGAGTTGAAGATAGAGGGATCCATTATGGAGAATGTTGACAACGTTGAGAAAGTCTTAGTGAAACTTTCTATGGGAAGTGTCAACAATGATGAGAATATTGGGGTTTCAAAGGTCGAAAATGTTGACACTTACAAATGGCTAAGCAATGAGAGCGAGTAAACCTCTATGACGAATGAGGTTTGTTATGACGAATGAGGTTTGTTATGACGAATGAGGTTTGTTCAACACACGTGGAGGACAAATTGGTTCAGCAACTGAGCCATGCCTTGTGGATTGCACAAGTTGCAAGCTAGATGATTACATTGTTAACGATTAACCATGTATAGGTAGTTATATCGCGGATATGGTGAGGAAGTTGGTGCGATACTTGTCCACATGAAAGCACAAGGGTATTAATCCAAATGTTCAGAGATTACATTAAATCATGGAACATGGGACTGATGCAAGTTAAATCGGTAGAGTGGTCATTGATAAATATTGAAGTGCCATCGTGAACGAACTAAAATTCTGCACACCTCGACATAGGACCGGAAAATGCAAGTGATAGTCCTTTTCATTTACAAAATTTATTTTATTTCTTTCCTTTGGAAGTTTAGATCTAAAGGGCTAAATTATTAGGTTAACCTTTGCATTTCGATTGTGCCTGCATTTGCCTTGCCTAGGGGTCTAGGATAGAATGTTTAGGACTGAGAACCTGTTTACTGAAAGCAAGATTCAATTCAAAAGAGTTACTCTCCCAGCTGTTTCATTTCTCATGCCTTTGTAAGCTGTGGGAACCTGCAAGGAACTGATTTCGTTCTTCAATCATGCCATTCGGGTTCACACCTGTGTTATAACACCTATCCTGAAATCAGTTAATCTAGTAGGACAAAGCCTTGAGGAAATGATTGCTGTTTCATTATAGTCCAACTTTGATTGTTTTCCGCTTATGTGGGTCTGCATTGCACATTGTAATGTGTCTTGTAGAGAAATCGTCTTCTTTGTCGATCAAACATGTTCAATTTTTTTGGTTGGTACTAATCAATATGAAGTATTCTCATATCAAATTATGGGTGAGTGTGCATGGATCCTTGGTATGACTTAAGGACAATGAAATACCGTAATTACTAATGTTCTTCATTTCCTAGAAAGTGGGTTTTTGCTGGTTATATCAATTTTTTATAGGTTATTTACGCCATTTGTTAGAAATGCATGCCTGTGCAGGTCCTCATATTTTGGGGTCCTCTAAGCATGATTTTGCAAGGTAATGAATTCATAGGGTGGTCTCTTTGCTCCATCTACCACTTGAGAATGAGTCACTAGTACTAGGTTGTTAGCAGAGCAAGTCAATATCTTGGATGAGTCACTAGTACTAGGTTGTTAGCAGAGCAAGTTAACTTTTACCATTGGGATGGCCTTCTTTTTATAGGTGAATATGATTGGTTAACGATTGGAAAAGTTGAAGTGCAGGCTTAGATGACCGTTTGAATGAATAACTATCAGCGGTATAGGTGTATTAAATGCTTTCCCACCTTAGATTTGGTTGTGCCTCTTCTTTCGGTCAATGAGATGTGGCACTTGAAAGATTATGGAGCATGGATGTTTTTGTTGCGTTGTCGGTTTAGCAAGCCTCTTAAATTTGTGGTGGGTTTGGCATGTGAATGCAGAGCCAAAGTCCTTTTAACTGGATTAGTTCTTAATGGTAGTAGATCACGGCCTTTACGGCTGCGGGGGATCCTATCACAAAGTGCAGTAAACTATGAACACACAAATCGATTTTCTACCTCTGTTACCTACTTGTACTTGCAGTTACCACGTGTACATTCCTACCACATTCTATCCTTTTTGGTTTGATTAGTGACTGCTGCACTTTTTTACTTGATTACTTGGGAATGTTAAACAGTGTCCTTGGGTAGCGGGACATGTAGAGGGCTGCATTGGACTTGCTGGAGCTCAGAGTGTAGACTCTTATCACCAGGGGATAGAAATTGCTGGTTATGCAAGCAATGGGTTAATTAGGAGCTGTGTTATGATTTCTCCCTTGAGTGTGTCTGTTGTGTTCACCTTGAATTGCTTTATTTTTTCACTGATGGATAAGCTTTGTTCTTTTTGCTAATGCATTTCCATGGGTCTTGTATTGGGCATATTTAAGTTTTTAATATACGTCAAGAGAACAAGAGGTGATTTGGTGGCATTGACGATTTGCAACTTCGACAAGAATGACTGTGACAGAAAAGGTGAATCGTCACAATGTATTATCAATTGACAGGAGAGGGATACCCAAGCAGTCAATGATAATATTGAAGAGCATCATAGCTCTCTTTATGACTGCTCAAGCCGCATTTAATCCTTCAAAGAGAAAAGGCGTGTGTTCCCGACTAGACAATGGCAAAACTTAATTAAGTGTTTTATTCTTTGATTATTTAATAAATGCTTATTATGAGGTTCCCGTCCTTTGCTCATTTGATTACCGTCCTATTTTGATGATTTTCTGTGATGGCAGGTAGATAAGCATACATAGGTATGGTTAGTGTTCTGATGAGAGGAATAAGACATAGAGGATCTGACTGGGATCTCGTTGCCATATATTGTGCAAGCAACACGAGTCTACTCTTTGTTACTTGGTGTAATACCTTTTGAGTTGCATCATTGTGATTAAATCCTCTAGCCTCTAGGGACATTAGGATAGCTGAGGAGTCTTGCCTTTTTTGATGGTTCTTGTCTTGGTTCAAGTGGTAGAAACCATAGGGATTACTTGGCTATGTATGCATTTTGAAGTCTTATATCTCTTTCATGTATGAAAATCATATACTGATGAATAAACTAATTTAAGAGATAATTAAACCTAGAACAAAACAAAGTTGAAAATCTTTAATATATTTTGCACCTCATTGGGCCGAAGACGGCAACAAGTTTTTAATTTTCTGTTCATTGGACATTAATTATTTCGAGAAGTAAAGAAATTATGTGTAAACCTTTATATCCAACTTGGATGAACTGTATGTTCATTCTGAGTTATCGGTAGGCAGGAATTGGGTGCTGTGGGTATAGTCTAGTGGCTATTATGATAGAATGTTGTTGAAGTCTATCAGCTAACAAACTAACACATATTTAGGGTGGATGATTGTGCTCTTGAAGTTGCTTTTAGTAATTAACCACGTATTTTCTTGCAATTGTTGCTAAATGCAAAACCCTGTGGTACGGATTCTGTCATATGTTTATGGTATTGAGCAAATGGTGATGATGGTTTGTGCATGCTCATTATGTTTTATATGTTGAGTTCTTGTTGCTGAATTGGTGGAGATTCCACGATATTGACTTGCTCTGCAAAATCAACATGTAGGTAAGGTAGAAATGATGGAGAAAAAGCAGACTGAATGTTCAAGATGAAGTTCTATATGAAAGGCGATAAAACAGACATTTTTGAATTATATCTATGTTCTTCATTTTCCATTTTTGTTGCAAGATTATGGCGATTGCATGTTGGGATTCTAAGCTGTGATCATATTTCGTGCTGTAGTGTGGGCAAGGAAGTACTGATGACGAGCTGAGCCCTACATGTGTATCATCCTTGCTGGGTATCAGGATAGAGGGTGTTGCTGCTGGTCTCTGGCATACAATCTGCATTTCAGCTGATGGTGATGTGTATGCTTTTGGTGGGAATCAATTTGGCCAATTGGGTACAGGCACTGATCAAGCTGAGGTAAGTTCCCCTTAAGTTCTTATGTCCTAGTGAGATTTTTCAGATTATAAATCAAAAGCTATAATGGTATATGTTCTTTTCACATGAAGCTTTAAAGAATCTTAACATTCCTAAACAATATTCTTTACGAATTATGATATTCTGTAGAGTAAAGAATCTTTATTATGATGTTCTATACTATCTGGTTTCGAAATCTTGGACTGCATCAACCCATTTCATGTGTGATTTCTTGTCAGACGTTGCCAAGGCTTTTGGATGCTCCTAGCCTGGAAAATGAACATGCAAGAGTTGTATCTTGTGGGGCACGACACAGTGCTGTAGTTACTGGTATGTATTACATACGATATTGCTGTTGGTTAGTTAAGCACATATTTTTTCCCAGAAGTTTTATATGCATAGAAATCAGGTTTCTGCCTAAAAAAGCATTACATACGATATTGCTGTTGGTTAGTTACCTCCATTAAGCATAAGAGAAGGAAGCCCCTGTTAAAGTTTGTTTTTTTATTGCTTTTAATTTAATGATACACTTCTGGTTGACGAGTGAGATATACTTGGTATGTTCGGTTTCGTTTTTTACTTTTGGATCGACTTTGTCCAAGTAGTCTAAGATGTTAAGACTTGAAATTGAAACTACAAGTTATATGCATTGTTCTTAATTCTTCATTTTGTGGGATTGATTCTGTCGTTTCTGATAAACATGATCTTAATCTCATTTCACATCATGTAAATGGGACCCACTAAATGAAATATGAAATGGCCTAACATTTTGCTTTAAATTTGTGAAGAGGGGAAGGTGTTCTGCTGGGGATGGAACAAGTATGGCCAGGTACACACCCCTCGTGCTAAATCAGAATTGGCATACGCTTCTAAACTACTTGGATTATGTCTTGATAACGAGTTGTGTAAACATTGCAGCTGGGCTTGGGAGATGTAATAGACCGTAACATTCCATCTCAAGTTGCGCTAGAAGGCTGTGTCCCTAGAACTGTTGCATGTGGCTGGTGGCACATACTGCTTCTTGCCGAACCACTGACCTGAGGGTCTGCTTCTTTGGTGCTTTTAGACAAGCCAGAAACAGTTTTGTTAGGTCAGTAGATGCTCTTCCATTGAAAAGGAAGAGTAGATGTATATGCATATGTACATACAATTGTCCGCTTACATGTACAATGTATGCATGTGATGATCATCATTCTTTAAGAGTTTCTTGATTGTAGGTGTGAAATTGATTCTTAAATCATTGTATATATGTCAATAAAATTAAGTATTTCCTGCTGCATGCATATGGTCCTATTATAATATTCAAGTATGATGTTGTTTTCCACTTATCGGGTAAGAGACACACTGTCAGAGATAATGCTATTTACCAACTCCCTCTTACTGGTCCATCATGTTAACCGAGATGTTTCACTCTTACTCCGTCAGTAGTGACCTAGATCGCACTTCCTGATTACCCACTGGTCCAATTTGTGTTGGTAAGTATTCTGGCCAAAAGTTAGATCTCTCCTCTTTTTGTGGCTAGTATGTTTCTCTTGGGAACATTGTACATGGAGATTGGCCCCAGTTGTTCTGGGATCCTTAAAGGCTTCCATCCCTAAGCCATTTATTGGAGTTTTCTATCCTAAGCTAACATCCAGAGGACATAGAGATTGGTCCCGAATTGTTTCGGGTTCTTATAAATAATGAAACGACCCGACTTTGGTCCTTATTACCTTTATTCAAATGACGATTAACTGGCCGAGACTGGTGATATTTGTGGCAGTGTTGTTAGTGCATACTGGTTGTGCTGTGGCCACCCGCTGCCCGGATTGTGGGAGGACGCCTGTCCCGTATCCGCTCAGCACTGGACCAACATGCGGCAATCAGTTGTACAAGATCCAGTGTGATGTGGATGTGTTGAAGTTCGATACAATCAATAACACTTACCCTGTGATATCAATATCGCCGGAAAACCAACGGTTAGTGATAGGGCAATCGCATTTCTTACCAAACACCTGCGTCAAGGCCGATCTTGCCACCAACGGTATCCAGCTGAACACCTCCCTGCCCTTCACCATCACCGCCGACAATACCGTGTTCTACTTCAACTGTACGGATACAATGTTCTCGGTGGCATTAGATTGCACACCAACAAGCCCTTGCCAGACCTACCAGAACGGCTCGGCTCACATGTCGACATGCCGGCGTGCTCCACGTTGTTGTTCCTACAAAAAAGGAAGCTCAACGAACCAATATTTCCTTCGGCTCATGATTGAACGATGTAGGGCTTACACAAGCTTCGTGAATCTAAACATCTCTTTACCGATTAGCAGATGGCCGGATCCTGCTGTGGAGTTGATGTGGGTGCTACCGCTGGAGCCGCCATGTGTGACACAGGCGCAATGTGATTCAACCTCCACCTGTAGGGACGCCCAAGACGGCGGGAGAAGGTGTTTCTGTAACCATAAATTCCGATGGGACGCGATTGCTGGTCGGTGCGCTTCGGGTAATGATTGGGGTTTGATATTACCTTTTAAGCATTTAAGAACATATTAATTATTGAATTAAATTATTGCAGATTTCAAAAAGGTCAGATCAAAACGGATCATGATTGTTGCAACTACAATTTGCTGTGTTGGGATTATTATCATGTTGGCTGTATTCGCGATGACAATTTGTGTTCGTCGTCAAAGAGTCAAAGCAGCACGGCAACGCCTTTCTCGTGAGCGTGAAGAGATCGTAGGGGCGAGCGGTGGTGGAAGATCATCCAAGATCTTCACCAGCAAAGAGATAAAGAAGGCTACAAACAACTTCTCGTCAACGGGTCTTCTCGGTGTCGGAGGTTTTGGTGAAGTGTATAAAGGTGTGTTGGACGATGGGACGACGGTGGCCGTTAAATGTGCCAAGCTCGGAAACACCAAAAGCGTTGATCAAGTCTTGAATGAGGTTCGTATCCTCTGCCAAGTCAACCACAAGAACCTTGTACACCTCCTAGGTTGTTGTGTCGAACTGCAACAACCGTTTTTGGTGTACGAGTATATTCCAAACGGAAGTCTCTTCGATCACTTGCATGATCGTAACAAACAACCTCTAACATGGAGTCAACGGTTAACTATCGCTCATGACACCGCCGAGGGGCTTGCTTACCTCCATTTCTCCGCGTCTCCACCGATCTACCATCGTGACGTGAAGGCTAGCAACATTTTGCTCGATGACAAGATGAAAGCAAAGGTCGCAGATTTTGGTTTGTCAAGACTAGCTCACTCGGATGTGACTCATGTAACGACTTGTGCCCAAGGTACATTGGGGTACCTTGATCCTGATTATTATTGGAACTATCAGTTGACCGACAAGAGCGACGTATATAGCTTTGGAGTCCTGTTGTTAGAAATACTAACGTGTCAAAAAGCTATAGACTTTAATAGACCGACAAATGACGTCAACTTGGTTACTTACGTCAAGCGAATCGTGAGCGAGGAAAGATTGGTGGACGTGATTGACCCGATACTCAAGAAACGCGCTACGTTGTTAGACTTCGATGCTATGAAAGCATTTGGGTTCCTTGCGATGAGTTGCTTGGAAGAACGAAGAGAAAACCGGCCGTCTATGGAAGAAGTATCCGAGGAGATCGAGTATATCATGGGTATCGTCGCAACCATGGTGGATGATCATTCTCGGGATAGGTAGGTCGCTTCGCATGTCGTCATGCCAGCACGAGTTATACATCATGCAGTAAAAGTTGTACATAACACGTTAGATGTTGTACATCATATGTTAGGTACAAATCGTGCAATGCAATATAATAAAATGTAATATCAGTTTTTTTTTTATTAACTTGGATATCCAATCTGCTATTCGAGCCGACTAATCTCAGTACGGCCACCTGCTTTGTAGATAGTTCGGAATTACTGCATTTGAATCTTCGTGGTCATAAGATGATTTTTATTTATTCGTGGATTTGAACATGAGACTTCCTGATACTTTTGACTTTTAGAGTTAAACTCAAACCAATCATGGATAATATCAGTTTTTTATATCTAGAATGAGATGTAATTATCCTCTTCTGAATTAGGCATTGATTTCCGGTAGAAGGTAGTTGAGAAGGTTGACGTAAATATCTTTGACTAGTAAATTGTCAAAGTCAAATGCCATAAGATAATACAAAAAGTCAAAAAGAAGACAACGAACAACTTAGTATAAATCATTATATCCTTTTCGTGGCTTCATCGAAAACCATTTCTCAGTTTTTTCAAACATGGCGGCTAAATCCACCTTCGATGTCATGTGCACGGTGGCGCTGATGCTACTGTTCGCCGATTTCACCACCTCGGCCACCCGCTGCTCTGACTGCGGCTCCACCCAAGTTCCGTACCCTCTCAGCACCGGACCTGGTTGTGGCGACCAGTCCTACAGAGTCCGGTGCGACACGGGTGCAGGTGCGCTGTTCTTCGACACCCCCAACACCACCTATCCGATTTACTCTATCTCTCCGACCATCCAACGGTTCAGGATCCGACCACCGAACTTCCTCAACAACAACGCCACCTGCGTCACAACTGATGTTTCCACTGAGGGCCTCCAGCTGGACCCAACCTTACCTTTTAACATCACAAGCGGAAACACTATCATGTACCTTAATTGCTCCGAATCGCTTTTGAGATCACCGTTGAACTGTACCTCCACGAGCCTCTGTCACTCTTACATAAACAACTCAGCGGAAGCGTCAGTTTGCGGCCGATCTCCAATTTGCTGCACGTTTAGGTCAGGTGGATCATCGACGATGTACTCGATCCGGGTGAGGGATGGTGGGTGTCAGGCCTATAGGAGTTTCGTGAATTTGGATTATTCGTTGCCGGTGAGTAGGTGGCCTGTTCCTGGAGTGGAGATACAATGGGCGTCGCCACCGGAGCCCTTGTGTGGGACCCAAGCTGATTGTGATGCTAGCTCTACTTGTGTGCCATCCGCTGCCGGTGGTGTTCGTAGGTGTATTTGTAACTCCGGATTTCATTGGGACGCCATTGCCGGAGTTTGTGCCTTAGGTAATTTGTTAAAATCTTTCAAGAATTAAGGTATAAAAAATTTCATTGCGTATGGTGAAGAGCAGTAATATAAATTTTGTTAATTTATTTGGTTACAGATGATACTTGTGACACCAGAGGGGATTGTGACGACTCAAATCGAACCGCGCTTATTGCAGGTATCGTAACGTCTCGCTTTTGCTTTCGTTGTGTTTATTCGTGCATACAGACGAAAACATAAAGGCTCGGGCAATACAGCGTTGGGTAGGGGTGCTCAAAAACCCGATCCAACCCAACGCGAAATAACTCAACCTGAAGCAACCTGATGTTTAATCGAGTTGTAAAACTTTCAAACCGTAGGTATTAGGTTGATATTGGGTTACTATTATATGAACTCAACCCAACCCGATGAACCCGATATCCATTTATTTTTTGAATTTAATATGATTGTTGAATTTCTATTAATATATACACTAGACAATTAACTATCACGCACGCTTTAATCTATTCACATCTCTATTTTTTGTTGAATTTCTATTTTTTGAATTTAATATGATTGTTGAATTTCTATTAATATATACACATCTTTTCAATCTATTCACATCTCTATATAACTCGTTTGTATATATGTTCAGTAACTGTAAACATATATACGTAAATTGAGAAAATTAACTAAATGTGATATACGTAAAAAATATGGATAAATTGTATCAAATGGTTGATGATGAAAAAGAAATTGTGAGTAGAGAAATAACATGTTCAAAGTTAGAAGAATATTTTAATGTACCAAAGTACCAACCCGACCAACCCGTACGGTTTGGGTTGGGTTGGGTTGCACTTTCGTTTGGGTTGGGTTGGGTTAAGATTTTTCAAACCACAAGCATTAGGTTGGGTTGTTAAAATGTCTTCAACCCAATCAACTCAATCCATGAGCAACCCTAGCATTGGGTGCTTTTGGAAAATGTTGGGACACACCAGTGTGTGTGTATATTTATGGATGGATTCATCAAATTTAGGTTGTGAATTGGGGACAAAGGAAAGCATGTCACATGTTTCATACATTCATGGGTTATTCATCATGGATATAGTGTGTCGTGTTCTCCTTTATCCCTGAGTTCATAACCTAAAGTTGATTTGCAATCGAACTTTTCTCTCAATATATATGTTATTTGAATCATCTAGCGCAACAGAGATGTTTTTTTTTCAACCAGATGTAACAAAATTTCATAATCCCATTCCCATAAATAAAAACTAAACAAATCTTTGTTGTATTTGTGTTGTGTTTCATCCAGAAAATTAGAACAAAGGATGCCTCTTTGGGTCCACTGGGTTACCATGGGCCCTCTACTAAACCTAAATTCTTAATGGGCCCATTTCTTTTCATCACTTATAACAGTTTTTTTTTATAAAAGTCCGGTGGCTTGACTTTTAGATAAAAACCATTTTGTTTTTTAAGTAGTGTTTTGTTGACATTTTAATGTTTAGGTTTGACCTCCGGCCTAGGAGCAGCGCTTGTGGCGGCTGTCATCGGATTCCTACTCTACAGACGTCATCGTCGTCACAAAGAAGCACAAGCACGGCTTGCACGCGAACGTGAAGAGATTCTAAACGCCGGTTCCGGGAAAACAGCTAAAGTCTTCACCGGAAAAGAAATCAAAAAAGCAACAAACAACTTCTCCAAAGACCGTCTTCTAGGCACCGGAGGTTTCGGTGAAGTATATAAAGGCATTCTAGAAGACTCCACGGTCGTCGCCGTCAAATGTGCCAAAGTTGGCAACGCAAAAGGCACCGATCAGGTCCTGAACGAGGTGCGAATCCTCTGCCAAGTTAACCACAGGGGCTTGGTTCGTCTCCTGGGCTGTTGCGTCGAGCTCGAACAGCCATTACTGGTTTACGAATACATCCCAAACGGCACCCTTTTGGAACACTTAAAAGGTCAATACAGCACCGGTGGTCTGAGTTGGACTCACCGGCTAAACATCGCTCGAGATACGGCGGAGGGGCTGGCCTACCTCCATTTCTCAGCGGTTCCACCCATCTACCACCGTGACGTCAAATCTAGCAACATCTTGCTAGACGAGAAAATGAACGCAAAGGTTGCTGATTTCGGGTTGTCTCGGTTGGCTCAAGCGGATTTGAGTCATGTGACAACATGTGCTCAAGGGACGTTAGGATATCTTGATCCTGAGTACTACAGAAACTATCAATTAACAGATAAAAGTGATGTTTATAGCTTCGGAGTCGTGTTATTAGAGTTATTAACATCAGAGAAAGCAATAGATTTTAACCGACCACCAGACGATGTGAACTTGGCCATTTATGTGAAACGGATTGTGGAAGAGGAGAGGTTGTTGGATGCGGTTGACCCGAATCTGAAGAAGGGTGCTAGCAAGTTGGAGTTGGAGACGATGAAAGCATTGGGGTTTTTGGCGGTTGGGTGCTTAGAGGAACGTCGACAAAATCGACCTTCGATGAAAGAGGTGACCGAGGAGATTGAATATATCATTAGTATTGCAACAAGTAGTAATATGGAAGATTAAGGAACATTAGCTTATAGACAATAAGTTCCTTTTTTGGTGTTTGAGATCATGTGTTTAATCCTGATATTCCATTTTAATTCCTGTCAAATTAAATGGGTCCGTAAAATTTCATTTCAATTCCTTCAAAATCAAATTCCATCGATGGTAACTGAATCCACCAAATTTCATTCTGCGAACTGAACACTTTCAAGTAAGTTTAAAATTCTTATTCTTGGGCTTTTGGGGATTTTCCTACGTCACTAAGCCATGGTAGATTACTGTGGATATTCGTAACTGTTCTCCAGATCTCAGAATTTGTTGAGGTGTGTACAAACTGAACTAGATACATCCATGATTAAAGCGATTTTATTGAATAAATTTATTTACAGTGTTTGGTAGAACAGAAGTCAAGGACTATAATCCATTAATTTTTTATGTTACTCTTTCTATTTTGTTTAAATATTGTACAAGTTGGGTTGGTTGAAACCCTTGACTTGATCAAGGGTATACATCTTACACATAGTGGAAAAAGAAAATTTCAAATCTGAACAAATAATTAAGATGGTTTGTGAATGCATGGAAATCAAGGTCCTTCTTAGAAGGTTGGGGGAAAAGGAATTGAAAATTATGATCAATTGATTTGTTGAGAAACTCCTTTCATTCCTATTTTCCAACCCATCACCTAATATATATATATATCTTCAACTTGTATGGTTTTATTAATTAATATTACTTTTTATAAAATTATTATCAAACATAAACATAAATAACCAAAAGACTTTTTCTTTATTTCATTATTTCAGATAAATAGATACGACATTGTTCATCTTCAATTGTTTTAAAATATATATATATAAATTATCGTTTACTTTTGATCTTTGAAGTTCAAGCTTAAACCAATCAGGTATCATTTTTGTTGTTCTAATTAAGTTATTTATCAAGTTATTAAGTACATGTTTGCAAGAAAGTATAACATTTATATTTTAAAGTTGTTTATGTATTTGAATTATATATTAGAGTTATTCAAGGGTGGTATATGATCCACTAGATCTGGCTTATCCGACCCATTAAAAAAACGGACTTGTAACCATTTTTAAGAAATATGGGTGGGAACGTTCAAATTAATGGGCGGGCTCGGGTGGTGAAAAGAGAAATTTCGATAAGCCCGTGCACCATGATATATAATTATAATCAATTATTTTTTTTATATGATTAATATTTTTTTAGAAAATATATAGAATTAGTTTTAGGTTAGACTCACTCTACTAAGTATGGTCCCCTCCCAAATACATATTATATGTTGTGTATCAAATGGTATGTTTGGAATCTTGATCTTGAAATATTCAACTTCGAAGGTTGATAATCCTTGGATAGAAAAAGCCTCCTCCATTTTATGCTTTTTAGTTAGAAGAAAATATGTATTTTGGATAATTTTACATAAATTACTATTTTATATAGATGTCCATTAGCCCATTGGCAAACCCGATCCACCTATAGGACGAGTATTGGCAAGTTCTCTAGCACACAAAAAAACATACTTGAATTTGCTATGAAGCCCTAACATGGCCGAAAAACACTCCTAGGTCGGGTCGGGCCGGACGCAAATCGGTCCCTGTCCCAAAATAGTAATCCCATAACCGGTTCTGTCCCCATCCAAATACGAAAGCTCGGTTAAGGTGTATGAGGCTAAGTTATGAGAACTGGTCCCAAACCGGTCATATGTAAAAAAATTCGATTTTTTGAAGTTAATTTTAAAGAATACAAAGGTTTTATTCAAATACACTTCAAATTTTTAATTGAGTCAATTAAATACACTTAAAAATACGTTTTTTGCGAGAATTGTGACCGTTTGTGAGTTGGTATCTTCCCCATACATAACACAATATATATATATATATATATATATATATATATATATATATATAATATATATTGAATAGAGATTAAATGGGACAATTAAATACACTTAAAAATTATGTTTTATTATAATTTTATAATTGGTTTTTAATCAAATACACTTAGAAAGTTGGAAATACATTTAAAAATACGTTTTTTTTGAAAAAATCGGACCGGCCCATAACCAGTCCCAGACTGGTCCAGGGTCGGACCTAGTTTTCTGACGAAAACCGTAACGGGTTCCAATCAGTCCCGGGCCGGACCGAATCCATTCGGCCATCTCTAAGCCCTGTACAAAAAGAATATGTTAGGCTCAATCACTGATCCATCTAAGCCCATAAATGATCACCTCAATTGTACATAATGTTCCAACTATGTTATATCAACTTGTGTAACCACCAAAAAATGACGTGTTAGGGTCGTTTACCAAACACTTACCTGGTAATTGTTTACCGGTAAAATCTAACACTATTATTTACTTACCGAGTAAGATTTTAGTCCACCAAAACGACATTGTATGCAACAATTTACCCGGTAAACGCTTACCGTGGTAAGAGTCGTTGACCTCACTTACCGCGTAAGACTCTTGGTCCTTGTCTCACTCTTACCGGGTAAGATTCTTGGTCTTTACCATATTCATACGGTGAGGTAATATTACTTGGTAAGCGTTTATCCGGATAAGCGTTTGGTAAAAAGGCCCCTAAACTAGTTTTATTGTTGGCCGAGGTTGATAAAAACTAGCTCACAAATTAGTTATATTTGATAAAATGAAAAGAAAAACTTCTACAACTTATTAAATTGTTACGTCAAATAGTTTTTCAAAAGTTAGTTTATAACTAATTAAACATTGTTTATTTACCATTTAATTACCAAACATGACATATATTAGTAATTTCGATCAGAATAATATCTAAGTTTGTTCTTAAAATTTATGATGTGAGTGATTGCCGGGTAATTTTATGAAATGTTTTAATAATATAAAATGTGTTTATATTATTAAATAATTATGGTGAAATCGCTGTCATATAATCATACAAAATCCTAATGGTCTTACAAGACAAAAAATGGAACATATCATAAATAGACAGGCTCTTTAGAAAAGGCACAAGATTTGCGCGTTTTCTTGGTCATCTCACATTGCTTTCTCTTTTTCTTTTAAACGTAATTTTTGAATTTTAAATACAATTTTATAAAAGTATTTGATTAAATAAAATTCAAAAATGTTATTCCACTAAGATACATGTTTTTATTAAATTAAATGTCTTATTAACTTATTGTAACATTTTTATATATGACATACAAATGTTTATAATAAATATTTATAGATCTGTTTTTGCTATAGTAAATAGCAGAGTGGTACTTGATTAGGTTTTTGGTTTATAGGAGTTTAACGATGACGGAAAAATAACAACGCTTCCTATGACTTGAGAAACAATGTATGGGGATGGTATGGTGATGGATGCTTTAGACTTTAAAGGCAACGAATTTTATTATTTTTAGAAAATATTAATTGATGAAAATGTACGATTTATTATATTATTAGACACGTTCAATAAATGGAACTTTTATGAACGATATCTAAAAGCATTGACCACCCATTTATTTATATATATATATATATATATATATGTGTGTGGAGAACCCTTATGATTTACGAGAATACGAGAACAACCTAATAACCTCAAACTTTTTTAATTAATAAATTAACTTTTATTATATATAAATAATTTAATAAGGGCAGTAATGTAATTAAGTAATTTTTATTTTATTTTAATTAACCATAATTATCATATCACGTTTCCACGTTTTACTCTTGTTACTTTTCTTCTTCTCCATATCGTTCATGCTTCTTCTCCATATCACATGATTATCACACTCATATCACAAGATTACACCAAAAATTTAACTTATCAAACAAAACGATAACCCAAGTGATGTATAACGGTGATTATCACACACATATCACATTAGTACACCAAAAATTTAACTTATCAACCAAAACGATAACCCAAGTGATGTATAACAGTGATTATCACACCTATATCACATGATTACACCAAAAATTTAACTTATCAACCAAAACGATAACCCAAGTGATGTATAACAGTGATTATCACACCCATATCACATGATTATTGCACCCATATCACATTATTACACCAAAAGTTTAACTTATCAACCAAAACGATAACCTAAGTGATGTATAACGGTGATTATCACACCCATATCACATGATTACACCAAAAATTTAACTTATCAACAAAAACGATAACCCAAGTGATGTATAACGGTGATTATCACACCCATATCACATGATTACACCAAAAATTTAACTTATCAACCAAAATGATAAACCAAGTGATGTATAACGGTGATTATCACACTCATATCACATGATTACACCAAAAATTTATCACATGATTATCGTGTTAAAATATTTGATGATATCATTTGCATTATTACCCTTTTAATTTTAATATTTTTTGAATCTTTTTAAATTTCAATTTTAATTTTAAAAATCTTTTAATTTTATTTTTTTATCACAATATGAGGTTACTGGGTTGTTCTCGTGTTCTCGTGTTCTCGTAAATTACAGGGGTTCTCGTTTGAACCCTTCCCTATATATATATATATATATATATATATATATATATATATATACACACACACACATATACATATACATATATAGGAGCGATCAAATGAAAATCACCCTCATTTGTACAAACCGTACAAGCCATCCTCATACGTCGATTTTATTGTTTAATCTTATGAAATTTTTTCATAAAATTGTTTAATCTTGTGAAATTGTTTCATATAATACTTTTTTTGATGAATTTGTTTCATATATGGTTATGAAATTTTAATGAAATTTTAAAAAAATAGATGAAACAGTTTCATTAAAATTTCATTAAATATTATATGAAATTGTTTCATATAATATTTAATGAAATTTTAATGAAACTGTTTCATCTATTTTTTTAAAATTAAAATAATGAAGATGATAATATCCATGATTAACACCTTCCATAATAAAAATGATTAATCAACCTCTCATAATTACAAAAAAATGAACAAAATGAAAAATTATGATTGGTTGAATGTGGTTTTCACGGTTTGTATAAATTGAGTGGTTTTTATTTGAACGTTCCTCCATATATATATATATATATACCAAGTCTGTCACACCCCGCTAAAGCGGAAACACGAGGCGCGACAGTTAGGAGTTCATCGCACTAGGATATATTTAACACCAACCATACATTCATAGCCATAACACAAAAAAAATCCAAAGTTTAAAATTACATTCACCGATTACATTTCAACAGAAACAAAGTTTTTAACAAAATAAGTTCGTTACAAAAGGAGTTCCTTAAACAAAAATCCAGCTTATGTTGCCCAATGTGGATGCAAGCAAGAACGTAAGATTATCTATTTTTCCACTACCTTCTTATTTCCTGAAAAACATATTAAAATCGAGTGTCAACTACAAAGAGTTGGTGAGTTCACAGCCCTCTTTTTTACCATTTTCGCGTTTTGGGGTGAAAAACATGATTGAAATTGTGATATGATCCATTTCATTACGGAAAGTGAGTATATATATATATATATAATTGCAAACCATGCATTTAATTTATACCCACTTGGTTCTTGTAACCACTCATTATTCTACAAATATTTTCGTTTTTCCTCCTCCCTAAAATATCACCAAAAGACTATATGTTGTTACGACTTAGTCTAAAGATGCCTTTCATTCCAATAAAAGTCTTAACAATTTATATTTAGTAGACAGTTTTTTTCAAATTTAGAATAACTGTAGTTTTCCGGACTAACTTACCCATATTGAGGTGGTGTTTGTTTTTTAAAAAAAGCTCTTATTTTACCACTTATGTCTGATTAGGTCAGACATAAGGCAATTAAGACCGTTTGTTTTTCTTTTCTTTCTGAGCTACTTATCCCTTATTTTCCTCTAAAAAATTAAGTGATAACCTAATCACTTATTTTCCTCTTAATCCTGAAGACTATTCAGAGAACTGATTTCTACTTCATCATTCGATCGACTTCACCTTCCATCGCCTCTGGTGGCTTCAAATCGACCCAAATCAGATCCAAATCAAGAGGGTTTTCTTCCCTGTGGGTTTTTGCCACTGTGTGTTTTCGTTCCTGTGCAAACCAGTAGTTGTGCACCTTTATCCTCGTGAATCAAGGTATTTTCGTCCCTGTAGTTTTCATCATAATGGATATTTACTTCGATTTTAGAGATGGATTTGGGCGTTGGATTTTAGAGAAGGAGTGGTGGTAGACGGTGGTGGGATGAGGGTGGAGATTGAGGATGGAAGGCTTGAATTGGAGGAGAAGAAAGAATTAAAGGAATATTGGGAACATAAACAGAACTGAAATCAGAAATTATACATATTCATATGTTTTGTTGGTTACAAAAACAAACTATTGATTCAGATTTCAGACTTCAGACGTTTGTCAGTTTAGAAAAACAAACAGTCTGACTGATTCAAATTTCATACTTCAGTACTACCTCTTAAAAATCAGAAGTGAAATCAGAATTCGAACTTCAGCATCTCTTAAAAAACAAACGCCACCTAACTAATTCTTCGGACGATGAACAAATAACTTGGAGAGTTATCACAGGTGAACTTTCAGGCCACAAGGGTTTTGACGGAGATTGGAGTCGAACCAAGAAAAGATGAGATTCGTAGACATCTTTTATCTTCTTTTATTTTAGTGAAAACTTCGTTATATCTTAATTTATTAAATTAATATCATTAGAATTTTTCCTACCAATATACGTTGTATCCATTTAACAAGTCGTTTTTAAAATAAAACTTGTAAGAGAGTTGTTGTGTGGATCATTATCACCTTCGTTTGGGTTTGAACAACACCATTTCAAACCCATTTAAATACAACCCCCATGCTTTCATTCCTCTTCATTAAACTCATCAAATTGATTTCCGTTTTTTCCAAAATGTGGTCACCACACCCACACCCACACCTCAAATTCGCCATTCTACTTCTTCTTCTTCTTCTATCTTTCTTCACAACACTCTCTCATGGAGCACCATCTCCCCCAAACCCTAGGCTCCAAAATGCTTATTTTGCTCTTCAAGCATGGAAACATTCCATAACCTCCGACCCTCGAGGTTTCACTTCCAATTGGTATGGCCCTAACGTGTGTAACTACACTGGGGTCTTCTGTGCACCTTCTTTAGATGATTCACATATCACCACAGTCGCTGGAATCGACCTCAATCATGCAAACATCTCTGGTTCTCTTCCGGAAGAACTAGGGTACTTACTCACTGATCTTTCCCTCTTCCACATCAACTCTAACAAGTTTTGTGGAACAGTGCCAAAGTCGTTTGAAAAACTAGGTCTTCTTTACGAGCTTGATATCAGTAACAATCAGTTTTCGGGTAAGTTTCCATTAGTGGTGCTTTCGCTTCCTTCTCTCAAGTTTCTTGATATTAGGTTTAACCAGTTTCAAGGGGATGTTCCTTCCAAATTGTATGATCTTAAGCTCGATGCCATTTTCATCAACAACAACTTGTTTACCTCTAGATTGCCGGAAAACCTAGGGAATTCTCCTGTATCGGTGTTGGTTTTTGCTAATAACGATATCCAAGGTTGTTTGCCGTCGAGTATAATGAAGATGGGTGAAACTTTGAACGAGATTATTCTGACGAATGTGGGTTTAAGTGGGTGTTTAACGCCGGATATAGGATCGTTGAAGAAGTTGACGGTTTTTGATGTGAGTTATAATTCACTTGTCGGAATGTTGCCGGAGAGTATAGGAGATATGAAGAGCTTGGAGCAGCTAAATGTGGCTCATAACAAGTTCTCCGGCAAGATTCCGTCTAGTATTTGTTCGTTGCCGAGGTTGGAGAATTTCACGTACTCGGATAATTACTTTTACGGCGAGCCCAAGATTTGTCTGAAGCTGGCGGACAAAGATGATCGGAAAAATTGTATTCCGGATAGGCCAGCACAACGGAAAGTGGAGGAGTGCAAAGCCTTTTATTCTCGTCCTGTGAATTGTCGTGGTTGCACGGCTTCTCCTCCTCCTCCGCCACCGCCACCTCCACCACCACCCCCGCCACCACCACCATCTCCACCTCCACCTACTTATAAGAAATGGGTGTCACCACATGGCCACCACCCATACACGCCACCATTGAAATATTGAAAAAAGAAAGATTCATGCCTTTCCAATTGTGTATTCAAAACATAAAGATCATGTATAATGAAATTGGAATTAGTTTTCGTGTGATATATGTTGATGTTGATATGTTACCTCCCTTTATTTTATTTTATTTGCAATTTAATTTTGACGCTCATAATTTTAATTTGGTATGAACATTGAAAATAATTTGTCTTAACCAACAACTCAATAAGACTTTTTAAGTTATTATTCACTTTGACATTTACCTTTTGGCCGATAATAAATGACCTTGACTTGAAAAACACTGGTAATTTATTTAATACTAATTTTAGTTTTGGAGGTAGAATGGTAAAAGTTCAAGTGGGGATCCTAAGAAAAGATTTTCACCCTGATCATTTTTATCTTATTCCGAAGAATTGATTTGATATATCTTATTACTGTTGATTTTAAATTAGGGTTGGTCCAAAAATAAAGATCATTTTTTACCATTCTAATCATAACTTTCATTTCCATTAACAAATTATATATTTATAACAGACATGGTCCTTCCTAAAAACATCGTCAACTAAAATGTTGTTAGTGAGGAATAGTTCCGTCCATTAATTAACCCTTCCCCTTCCTATACTTTTATTTTTATAACATATTCGATATCTTCGTTTACTTTCTTTTTTATAAAAGATTTGGTCCATTGTTCTACTTTCATTTTTATAATAGATTTGAGTTTCTCTTTAAAATTAATAAATTTTGATGGGACAAACATATACCAGTCAAGTAAAAAAACACACATCAATTAAGTAGTTATCAAGCCAGCCAAATTAATCCATCGGCATCTAAATATAAAATTGTTAAAATAATTTATACCAGTGAATTCAGAAGGAAAATCTATTAATTAAGGTATGAATAGTAATGTAAAGATTGGGCTTTCAAGTTCAATCAACACCATTGATGTTGTTACAAGCTAATTTATTTATTGATTCTATTAAAAAAGTTATGTTTGGTTGACATAAACTAATTTGTTATGGTGAGTTTGGTATGGAGACTATATGAGACGAGACGAGACAAAAAAAAAAAATAGTCTCATGTTTGGCATGTCATGGACTAAAAAAATCATAAAACAAGGTGAGGACTATTTTTAAGTTTCAAGACACAAATCTTGACATGAGACTTAATTTAAAATTACAATATTACCCATGGGCGGATCTGATTTGGTGGCATGGGTGGCACGTGCCACCGTCACCGAAGGGTTAAAAATTTAGGTTTGTTAACGATGTTACTGTATCATTTTAAAAGGTGTTACCGTATTTTCCTAAAATCCAAATAGTGCGAATAAAACCCAAACAAAACAAAACCCAAATAGTTAAATCAAAATTTTAAAATGTAAAGCCCAATTGTCCAAACCAACCATATCAAAATTCTAAAAATGCAAAGCCCAAAAAATATCAATTAATCAAATAAGGTGTTTAGCTTAAGCCCAACCCAAATACCAACCGCAAATAGCCCTTAAGGCTTAAAGCCATATCCTAATTAATTAAGGGTTTTTCTAACCCCACCCCCTCTTATTGGTGCATGTGAGGGGGATGAGATTGTATAGGGGGTGAGTATGTGAGGGTGAGAGTGAGAGGAAAGATGTGAGGGTGAGAGTGAGGGTTGGTGTGAGGAGGAGGGGGTGAAAAGTGATGTAAGGGGGTGGGGATATCAACCCCCTTGATTAATAATTTGTTAAAAAGTAATTTAATGATTAAATTAAATATTTTGTTCAAATTATTTAACACATTTTTACCATCTATGAAACAAAACAAATATAATTTTAATTTTTAAGTTACATAAACATTGTTGAAATTATTATATTAACATTT